CGGAGGGTGAGGGGTGGGCCCATGGTGTGAGGATGAGGAGGGTGAGGTGTGTGCCCATGGTGTGAGGATGAGGAGGGTGAGGAGGGTGAGGAGGATGAGGATGAGGAGGGTGCCCACAGTGTGAGGATGAGGAGGGTGAGGAGGATGAGGTGTGTGCCCACGGTGTGAGGATGAGGAGGATGAGGAGGGTGAGGTGTGTGCCCACAGTGTGAGGATGTGGGATGACGAGGTCCCAGGCGTGGTGCCGGTGTGTGACACATCCCACCCTGCTCCGCCGCAGTTCGAGGGCTGTAACAAGGCCTATTCCCGCCTGGAGAACCTCAAGACCCACCTGCGCTCACACACGGGTGAGAAACCCTACGTGTGTGAGCACGAGGGCTGCAACAAGGCCTTTTCCAACGCCTCCGACCGCGCCAAGCACCAAAACCGCACCCACTCCAACGAGGTACGGCCCCACCCAGCGCTCCCCGTGTGCTTCCGGATCATTCCCATCCTCTGAGAACTCCCCACATCCCTGGGTTTTGCTCCTGTGTGCCCCAATTCCCAGTTCCCTCTTTTCCTGCTCTAATTTCCCTCTTTTCCTTCATCACCAGCATTCCCGCTGGGATCCCTTTACCCCACTCCTGGGGGGCTCCCTCCTTCCTCTGCCTTCCTGAGCTCTCCCCAGCACCCACCTTTAATTCCCTCCTCAGCTCTCTGCAGAGGGTGATGAGGAGAAGTTTACTTTTGGGGAGGGGGCTGTAGTTGGAGCTGACACCCTCCCTCCTCCCGCTTTTCCCGGGCAGAAGCCGTACGTGTGCAAAATTCCCGGCTGCACCAAGCGCTACACGGACCCCAGCTCCCTGCGGAAACACGTCAAGACCGTGCACGGCCCCGACGCCCACGTCACCAAAAAGCACCGAGGGGACGTGGGGCCAGGCCGGGCACTGCCCACCCCCAGTGCCCCCCCGGACATGAAACAGGAGAAGGACGCAAACGGCCCCAGCGAGGCTCGGAAGGACGATGGGAAACTCCTGGTGCCTGAGCTGGCCTTGGTGAGGAGCTGCGGGGGCAGTGGAGGAAGGAGGGAGGGTTTGGTGGTGGGAGATCACCCTCGAGCGATGGAACAAGAGAAAACAGCCTCAAGCTGTTCCAGGGGAGGCTTAGGTTGGATATTTCGGAGAATTTCTTCATTGTCAGGCACTGGAATGGGCTGCCCAAGGCAGTGGTGGAGTCACCATCCCTGGTGAAGTGTCGAAAAAACACCGGGATGTGGCTCTTGGGGACGTGGTTTAGTGCTGAACTCAGCAGTGTTGGGTTGATAGCTGGACTCGGTGATCTCAGAGGCGTTTCCAGCCTTTGTGACGATTCCAAGTGTGTCCTGTGTACCTGACCCCCTTTGCCTTGGCCATGCTCTGGTTCTCTCCAGAAGCCTCAGCCCAGCCCGGGTGGGCAATCCTCGTGCAGCAGCGACCACTCACCCCTGGGCAGCACCACCAACAACGACAGTGGCGTGGAGATGGCAGGAAACGCCGGCGGCAGCTACGAGGACCTGTCCACGCTGGAGGACGTGGTGCCCGGGGAGCCCATGGGCACCTCGGGGCTCATGGCTCTCCACAAACTGGAAAACCTTCGCATCGACAAACTGAAGCAGCTGAGGAAACCGGCAGCTTCCAAGGGCCTGAACCTGCCGCCCATCCCCGGAGCCGGTGAGATCAGCGTCCCTCTCCCCCTGGGATGTGGGGCCTGGCCCACGGGAAGTGTGTAGAGAGGTCTGGTTGGCAGCCAGGGATTTCCACACCTTGATGGAATTAGAAGTGGATCCCAAAACCTGGGGAAACCTTAAGGGGTTCCAAGAGAACTGGGGAGGGGTTTTGGACAAGGGCCTGGAGTGCCAGGATAAGGGGGAATGGCTTCACATTGGAATATTGGATATTGGGAAGGAATTGTTCCCTGTGAGGGTGGGCAGGCCCTGGCACAGGGTGCCCAGAGAAGCTGTGGCTGCCCCTGGATCCCTGGAAGCACCCAAGGCCAGCTTGGAGCAGCCTGGTCTAGTGGAAAGTGTCCCATGGCAGGGGGTGAAAGTGGCTGGTCTTTAGGATCCCTCCCAACCCAAACCATTCCACAATTCCATGATTTTTCCAACCTAAATGAGCTTCTGCCCGTCTTTGCTGCCACCTGCTCCCCGTCCTTGCAGGCTCCAGCTATGGAAGAGCCACACCCCAGCTCTGGAGGTGGCTCCTGTCCCTGCTCTGACACTGCCAGGCTGTGTCCCGGGGTAACTCCTCCTTCTCTCCCTCAGGCCTGCCCGGGGACGTTCCCGGTCTCCCGGTGCCGCCGCCAGCCTCGCACCGGCGCATCGCGGAGCTGTCGGCAGCAGAGCTGGGCCTGGTGGCCCTGGGCGAGCGCCGGAGCAGCGGCACCAGCACCGTCAGCTCCGCCTACACCGTCAGCCGCCGCTCGTCGCTGGTGTCCCCGTACCTGGCGGGGCCGTGCCCGGGCGGCGAGGCCGGAGCGATGCCCGGCGGGCCGTGCCCGGCGGACGGCTACGATCCCATCTCTCCGGACGAGTCGCGGCGTTCCGGCGACGCCGGTGTTTGCGGGGGGCTGCCGGGGGTGGGCAGCCTCACCCCGGCTCAGCGGTACCGCCTCAAGGCCAAATACGCCGCAGCCACGGGCGGGCCCCCGCCGACCCCCCTGCCCGGCGTGGAGCAGGTGGCCGCGGGTGGCCACGGTGCCGTGCCCGGTGCTTACCCCGCTCCTGCCGGCCCTCGCTGCGTCGCCAACGGCTTGGTGAGAAGGCACAGCTCCAACGAGCACCCCGGCTACCCGGGCGGCGTCCCTGCTCACCTGGTGCCCCGGCACGGCGCGCGACGGGCAAGCGACCCCGCTCGGACGGTGGCCAAGCCTCCGGCAGTGCCCAGGGTGCAGAGGTTTAAGAGCGTGGGGAATGTGAGCGTGCCAGGCGCGGGCAGGACAGCGCTGCAGCCCCTGGGCGGCTCCGAGGCCAACCTGCAGCGCCACGGCTTCTCCCCACGGCCCCCCAGCATCACCGAGAATGTCTTCCTGGAGAGCATGGGGGGCCCCGAGTCCGGCCTGCTGGAGATGGATCAGTACCTGAGCTATCCCGAGGAAAGCTTCCCGTGCCAGGGCACCGGTGTGGAGCTCCAGGGTGGCATCTACGGTGCTCCCCGGACCGTGGTGGGGACGCACGGGGACGTGGAGGAGGGGCTCCTGCAGCCCGAGTTCTCCCTCCCGCAGTGCCAGATGAACCAGCGCTTCCCCAGTTTGCCTGCCGGGAACGGGGCCCTGCCGGCGCCCTGGGATGGATCCCCCCAGGGCACGCTGGAGATGAGCTCCAGGCAAAGCCTCGGAGCTGCAGCTCCCGCCATGTCCGGGCCACACTGTCCCCATCAAAGCGTCGAGTACCCCCACCCCAGCGCCTGCGGGCAGCATCCCAAACTGCTGAGCTCGTGCCAGGACGCCGAATTTTCCGGGGGGCACCGGTTTAACCGACTCCAGATCAAATCCGAGCAGCGATACCCAGCTCCGAGCCCAGCACTTGCTCCCTGCCCCGTCGCCAAACTGGGCGGGCCCGCAGCGTCCCCCGCTGCCTTCGGCCACGCCATGGAGCTGGGGCCGGGCGGGTTCCCCCCCGCGGGACCGGTACCGGGCGGGTACATGGGCATCGCCAGCCCGGGCGGCCGCAGAGCCCAGACCCCCACCCTGCAGACCAAAGAGGTGATGGTCAGGAACTACGTGGAGGCGCAGCAGGCGCTGATGTGGGGGGAGCAGCCCCACCTCAAGGGGAGCGCGGCTGCCGTGGGGCCGGGCAGTGAGCCCGGGCAGTGCCAGGCCGTGCCGTACCTCAGCCCCAGGTACTGCGGTTACCAACCCAAACCGGATCATCTGCAGAGCCTGGCGGAGCCCCAGCACCTCCTGAGTCCCCCCTGCTTCAACCCCGAGATGATCCCGCACCCTCCAGGTGGCCCGAAACCACCGGGTCACCAAGCCAGCCTGAGCTACCCGGGCAGCCTGGCACAGCCCGGGCACGGCTACGAGGGGGTGGACGCCGGTGCCCGGCGCCTGCCGCGCTTGCCCCCCGCCCGCCTCGCCCCCGAGGGGCCCGGGAACCTCCCCCTGTACTACCCGGGCCAGGGGGGCAAAGGTGGGCACAAGCTGCCGGGCCAGGGGGCAGCGAGCTGCGGGGGGACCGGGCACTACGGCCCAGAGGGACTCAAGGGCACCTCCTGTTACTACCTGGACTCGGGCGAGCAGGTGGCCAACAGCCTGGACTCGCTGGACCTGGAGAACACGCACCTTGACTTCGCTGCCATCGTGGAGGACGTGGAGACCCCCGCAGCACTGCCTGGACCCCCCAGCCCGGCCGGGGGGCTCCTGCTGCCCTCGGCTGGGGGGGCAAACATGGCAGTGGGGGACATGAGCTCCATGCTGAGCACGTTGGCAGGGGAGAGCCACTTCCTCAACTCCCTGTCCTAACGGGGGGTACCTGCCCTCAGGTGGGCACCTCTGTGCCCGGGGGGGTCCCCAGCGCCTTGGGGAATCCTCACACGCAGGTTTGTGCCTGGGGGGAAGCGGGGAACACCCCTGGAGCCCCCCCTTCTCCAGTCTCTGAGTGTCACCCTCGTGCAGGAGGTGTCCCAGACACTGCCCCGACCCTCCAGGTGACCTCTGGCGTGGGGAACTGGTTTTACTGGGCCCTTATTGCGGTGCCTCGGGGCGCAGCCTGAACGCCGAAACCAAAGAGTCCCCGCCCTGCGGGCCGGCCCCATCCCAGTGCTCCCAGTGCCCCCCACCCCAAATCCCAGTCTGTCAGGACTGCAAGCGCCCCCAGCCCTGCTCCAGGGGGGCAGTTCCCCGGGGGGTGGGGCGGGGGGTGCCTGTACATAGTGTTCATAGCTGTCTGTCTGTCTGTCCCTCCTGTCTGTGAGAGCACCAGCGGTGCCGCCCCCTCCCCTCATTAAACCCTTTCTCAGGGGACTTTGTGTGTTTGTCACCGGGGGATCCCGGCTTCATCCTGTCCTGGGGAGGGGTGGACAGGACATTCCTTGGTCCTCTGTGACCAAAACCCCCCTGGCAGCATCTTCCCCACCCTCAATCAGGGATCCAAAGCTGTTCCCGAGGTGCTGCCGTGACCCAGAGTGAGCGATACTGCAATTAGTGCTTCAAATAATGCAAACGGCTTAAAATAATGCTATTAATTATGCAAAAAAATAGGTTAAAATGATTCGATTTTCATGCGGAAAATTACCTAGGATAACGTAATTAATCATGGGAAAAAAACAGCCTAAAATAATGCGGTTTTATATTATTTTGTTCATGTAATTAATGGTGCAAAAATTGCATAAAATAATGCAATTAATTATGCCAAAATTCCATGAAATTATGCAATTTTGTATCATTTGCTATAACGGAATAATGCAAAGAAGTTCTTAAAATAACGCAATTAATGATAATAACACCAAAAAAATGCTTAAAATGCAATAATGCAACATTTGCTTAAAATAATGCAATTATGTGTGCAAGATTTATTTAAATAACGCAATTGTGCATAATTTGCTTAAAATAATTTAATCAGTGGAGCGAAAAACTCTGAAAACGATGAAACAGTGCAAAAAAAATTTGCTTAAAACAGCAAAACTAATGAGCAGATTTTGCATTAACGCAATTTTGCATAGTTTGGTTGAAGTAACGCGATTAAGCATGCAAAAAAAAAATGTTTAAAATAATGCAATCATAGCAATCAGGGTGTTTCCCCCGCACACCCAGAGCCTCGTCACGCTGTAATTAACCAGTAATTAACAGGTAATTAACCCGCGGCAGCGGTCGGGGCGGGCTGGTGGCGCTCCCTGGCGGTCCCGGTAAGGAATGAGATCCTGCGAGGCTCCGGGGGCACCGATCCGGCTCCGGACGGAGATTCCGTGGAGCCCCCCGGGATACCGGGAGTGCCCGCGGCTCCTCTGGAAGTCGCGGGGTCCCGGGAGGGAGCGGAACCCCCGGGGATTCAGAGTTCAGGGGGTTGAGGCTCCTTCCTCCGAGGCGGTGACAGCGCTTGGGTGTCACCGGAGCCGCCAAGCCCGGGGGCAGGCGGTGCCGGTTCCAGTGACGGGAGGGGAGGTGAGACCCCCAGAGTGGGAGCTGTGGGGGTGGAAAGGAGCCCTGGGACAGAACGGGATCCCAGATCCCCCCTCAGCCAGGTTCTGTTCCCTTTCTGCCGCCCTCCCCGGGGCAGGGACACGGCAGGGACAGCGCTTGAATGTCACCGGAGCCTCCAGCCCCGGGGACAGCCGGTGCCAGCTCTGACCGGGACCCCCTCGGGCCCAGGGCAGCACGGGGAACACTCGATATTAAACACAGCTGGGGTTGTGGTTGGGAGAACAATAAATAGCGATAAATAGTGGGGGGACAAGGCACAGGGACAGACTGCAAAGGCACAGGGACACGGCACAGCGCTGTCCCGTGGTGCTGACAGCAGCAATAAGAATTGGGGCATTCCCAGCCGCCCTGATCTGCTCCGTGCCCAGCCCAGAACACAGCAGGGTCTGGCAAACCCCCCCCCCAGTGGGCTCGGGGCCATCGCAGCAGCTCCTCTCTGTCACTTCCCCGCTCGCTCCTTGTGCGACTCAGTCACCACTTGCTGCAAAAGAAGGATTTGGGGATCAGTCCCATGGCAGGGTTGGGCCTCCCAATCTCCTCCTCCTCCAATTCTCACCTGCCCGTCCCTTGTCTCGATGGTTTTGATGAGCACCATCCTCCGTGCCGGGCTCTCAGCAGCTTGGGGCTCCAGCACTGGGACAGAGGGGCCATCAGCACCCCGTGCCCTCCCAGACACCCAGGACAGGAGCCCAGGGACCCACCCACACCCACACAGGGTCTCAGCCCCCAAGGAAAGACCCCCAGGCATAGTGAGGGACCCTCAGTTTGTCGCTCACCTGAGCTTCTCGTGCTGAAGGAGGTGGTGGGGTGCAGTGGGATGGTGATCCTGGGGGGAGAGGGGGATGAGGAGGGTCTGGGACTCCTGGACATTGCCAGTGACCCTTGGCCCTTCCACACTTGCAGTCCATGACCCACATCCCAGCTGAGCTGGGGGCTGCCCATAGGCTGCTGGGCCGGCACCCGGAGCTGAGCTGGAGGCAGCTCCCCCACCAACCCCCGGCCTTGCCTTTATCTGAACAGCAAGAAGCTCCCATGGGAACCTCTTGTTTTCCTGTGGGATCAAGGCCTGGAGCTGCCTCCTCCCGAGAAAATGCCACAATAACCGGGGTGACTCAACACGGGGGACCTTCCCCTCCCCAAGTAGGGGGGAGACGCCGTGTGCCGGGCTCCCCTCACCGGCTCTCCTCGCCCTCCAGCAGCTTGCGGTATGTGGCAATCTCGATGTCCAGGGCCATCTTGACGTTGAGCAGGTCCTGGTACTCTCTCAGGTGCCGTGCCATCTCCTCCTTCATCTGCTGGATCTCCTGCTCCAGCCTCCCCACCACGTCCTGGTAGTTCCCGATCTCCTCCCCGAACTCATCCTCCATCTCCCGCATCTGCCGTTGCAGCGCCTCGTTCTGCAGGGGAAGAAGGGGCTGCAAAGGGCCGGGGTGGGGCACCTGGTTCTTGCACCCTCCCCAAACACTGCCCGGCTCTCACCACGCCCTTCAGCCCGTCCACCTCGCAGGTCAGGCTCTGGATCTGCCGCCGGGACTCGTTCATCTCCTGCTTGGCCAGCCGCAGCGCCTCGTGGTTACGGTTTGCTGCATCTGAGAGGTCGGCAAACTGCATGGGCCAGGAGAGTCAGGGCTCTGGGATGGCTGAACCGCCCCAAAATCCCTCCCAGCCCCGGGTACCTTTGACTTGTACCATTCCTCGGCTTCCTGTAGGTTCTTGACAGCGATGCTCTCGTACTGGGTGCGGATTTCCCGCAGCGCAGCCGTCAGCTCCGGCTTGCAGACCTGCACCTCAGGCAGCCCCGCCGGGCTCGGGGCGCTCCCCTCCAGGTCCCGCAGCTCCTGTGTGGGAGTGTGGGTGTCACGTCGTGGCACAAGGACCTGACCTGGTCCCCCTGGCCCCATCCCACCCCGGCCCCCACCTCCTCGTGCAGCTTCTTGAGGAAGCCGATCTCGTCCATCAGCAGCTCGACCTTGCGCTCCAGCTCCAGGCGAGACAGTGTGGCGTGGTCCACGTCCTGTGGGAGAGGTCGGGATGAGCTGCAGGGCAGCGTGGATGGGATGGGGAGACCCTGGAGCCCCCCCGGGGTGGTGGGGGATGAGGATTCGGTACTGAGTGGGAAGACGGGCCCGCCGGTCCCCTCACCTTGCGGAACAGCACCAGACTCTTCTCGGCATCCTCACGCTTCTGTGTCTCGTCCTCCAGCCTGGGGGCAGCAAGGGATGAGAGGGAGGTGGGGGCGGGGGTGCAGACCCCCCCTCCTCCTGCCTCCTGTTGCAGCCCCCTCCACACGCAGCGGAGGCGAGCGGGGACGGAGCTTCCACAGCGCTCGCACCAATCCCCTCCCAGTGCCCCCACCCTTGCCCTGTCCCTCCCAGTGCCCCGCCCTTCCGCAGGGCCCAGATCTCCCAGTGCCTCCCACTGCTCTCTGTGAATCCCGGGTGCCTTTCCCAATGTCTCCTGAGCGTATCCCTCCTTTCCCAGGGGTCCTCTTTCCCGGACATTCACCAGTCCCCGACTTCCCCGGGGCTCCCCCATCCCGCCGCATCCTCCGGTCCCAATCCTGGTGCAAGGCTCATCCCATCACATTCCTCATGCCAGCGGATCCCCCAGTCCCAATCTGGCACCTTCCCCAGTCCTCATCCTATGCACAACTCACCCGGACTCATCCCCGATTCCCATGGCAGTACATCCCTCATTCCAGTTCATCCCTCTTCCCGGTGCATTTCCTGGTCCCTGGCACATCCCCAGTCCCCTACCCGGTCCATCCCTCATCCCAGCGCATCCCCGGTCCCCTCCTCGGTGCATCCCTCATCCCGGCTCATCCCTCATCCCAGCGCATCCCCAGACCCCTTCCCGGTGCATCCCTCATCCCAATGCCTCCCACGGCCCCACCGCCGGCCCACCGCTGCCGTAGGGCCGCCAGGTCGGTGGCGAGCCCGTCCCGCTCCGCCTGGAGCCGGTCCCGGTCGCGGCCGAGGCGCTGCAGCCTCTCCCGCAGCCCCCGCAGCTCCCCCTGCACCAGCCCGGTGCGGGGCCCGGTGGCGGCGGTGGCGCGGCCCAGGGCGGCGCGGAGGGTCCCGTTCTGCCGTTCCAGCTCCCGCACCCTCTCCAGGAAAGCGGCGAAACGATCGTTCAGTGCCGCCAGTTCCTCCCGCTCCGCGCCCCGAGCCGCCGCCGCCGCCGCCAGCCGCCCTGGCTGCACCCCGGGGTCCCGGTCACGGCGGCTCATGGTTGCACCGGGAGGGCGGTGGCTGCCGGTATCGGCCCTTTATAGCGGACAGCGGCTCCGCCCCGCCGGGGGGACCCGGGGGTACGGAATAGAGAGAGGGGAGGGGTCTCCTGGCCGGAGGGAGGATCAGGGGCTGCGGCTGTCCCCTCGGGGGAGGGGCGGGGAAAGGGGCTGGGGGTGGTCGGGGACAGCCCTCGGGATGAGGGGCAGGGGCTGCAGGACGTAGGGCTGCAGGCATTTCCCTTCGGGGGGGCTCGAAGACCCCCTCGGGATGCGAGGCGGGGGCTGGTGGGTCCCCCCTCGGCGGTGCAGGCAGAGGAATCCAGCAGCACCAAGGGGGAGGGGGCCGAGGGTGCTCGGGAGACACAAGATCCCTTCGCTGGGTCAGAGGGACCCTTTATGGGGTCCTCCCCCCAGGGAGCGTGAGGGTACAGACACCCCAGCTGGGATGCAGAGAGGGTCTGGGGGCTGCAGGGCTCAGGCAGAGCACCCGTCCGAGCTGGGTCCCATTCTGCCGGGGGTTCTCAGTATCCGGGGGGAAGGGGGAGCCCCCTCATCCACCCCCCTTCCCTCTTTGTCGGGGCCGCCGTGACTCGGCTCTGCGGGAGCTGCCATGCGCGGGGCAGCGCTGGACAATGAGCTCTGCAACCCCCCCCGAGCCCCCCCTTTCCGGGCAGCCAGGGCGGCACTTACGGGAAGGAGTAGGTGCCCTGCCCAGAGGCTGTGGGGAGGGTCCTCCCCCCGCCCAGGACCCCCTCCCAGCTCTGCAGAGAACCGCACCGAGAGTGGCTCCGTGCCAGTAGCAGCAGCATGACACCACGTCCAGCCCGTCTGCACCAGGCACTGGGCAGGACACTGGGGGGGGGGTCTCAGGGGTCCCCCTTCACCTGGTGACCCCCAGGGCCAGCAGAGCAGTGAGGGAGACACGAGTCCCCTCATGCAAGCAGCACAGCAGGACACTGCCAGCTCACAGCACAGGACCCAGCCAGGGACTCCGACCCCACAGAACCCCCCAGCCTCTCCCAGCACAAACCCACTGCCAGCTGGCAGCAGGGCCGGGCAGCCAGCCCAGCTGAGGCCCCCCGTCTCCCCTGGGACGTCCCCCCAGGTCACCACAAGCCGGATTGTCCCAGCACAATGAACGAGGCAACATTGGAAAGAGGCATTTTAATGAACAGCGCCACAGTGTAGCACCAGACACAAGGCACTAGTATTCCTCCCCCTCCTCATCGCCCTCCAAGCTGTCAGCCCCCACCTCCTCATAATCCTTCTCCAGGGCAGCCATATCCTCACGGGCCTCCGAGAACTCCCCTTCCTCCATGCCCTCCCCCACGTACCAGTGCACGAACGCCCGCTTCGCGTACATCAGGTCAAACTTGTGGTCCAGGCGGGCCCAGGCCTCGGCGATGGCCGTGGTGTTGCTCAGCATGCACACGGCGCGCTGCACCTTGGCCAGGTCGCCCCCGGGCACCACCGTGGGAGGTTGGTAGTTGATGCCCACCTTGAAACCGGTGGGGCACCAGTCCACAAACTGGATGCTACGCTTGGTCTTGATGGTGGCGATGGCGGCGTTGACATCCTTGGGCACCACGTCCCCGCGGTACAGCAGGCAGCACGCCATGTACTTGCCGTGCCGTGGGTCACACTTCACCATCTGGTTGGCCGGCTCAAAGCAGGCGTTGGTGATCTCGGCCACCGTCAGCTGCTCGTGATAAGCCTTCTCAGCAGAGATGACCGGGGCGTAGGTGGCCAGCGGGAAGTGGATGCGGGGATAGGGCACCAGGTTGGTCTGGAATTCTGTCAGGTCGACATTCAGGGCTCCGTCAAAGCGCAGAGAGGCCGTGATGGAGGACACGATCTGGCTGATGAGGCGGTTGAGGTTGGTGTAGGTGGGCCGCTCGATGTCCAGGTTGCGGCGACAGATGTCGTAGATGGCCTCGTTGTCCACCATGAAGGCACAGTCGGAGTGCTCCAGGGTGGTGTGGGTGGTGAGGATGGAGTTGTAGGGCTCCACCACGGCCGTGGACACCTGCGGGGCCGGGTAGATGGAGAACTCCAGCTTGGACTTCTTGCCGTAGTCGACAGACAGCCGCTCCATGAGCAGGGAGGTGAAGCCAGAGCCGGTGCCACCACCAAAGCTGTGGAACACCAGGAAGCCCTGCAGCCCTGTGCACTGGTCAGCCTGCAAGGAGACAACAGGAAAACAAGACCAAACTGTCAGTAACTCTGACCTTCAGCGGCTACAGACTTGCCCAGGAAGGCAAATATTCCTCACAGGATGGCAAATGTTTGTCCCAGGATCTCAGGCCCTGTCACTCAGTATGAGCAGGTCCAGGAAAAGGAACCCCTTATTGCAAGGATTTGGGGACACTCAGTAGAGACAAGGAGGAGCATGTTTGTTCCAGGCAGCAGAAGTTGCTCCTCTCTGTGGTCCTTCTGTGGCCACGTGAGGACATTATTAGGGTGTTCCAGCACCACAGCAGGAACCACCAGAGTGGGGGACAAGGTGGCCCTGACCTTACGTGCTGGACACTGACATTGGATACCCCAGCTCTTGGGAGACAGCCAGCAGGCTCTGGAATAAATCAACCACAGCTTCACCCCCTCTTTTTCCAAGGGGGTGCAGCAGGAGCTTATTCCACAAGAGCCCACAGGCAGCCAGCTCAGCCTTTGATGTGCCAGGAGCTCCCCGAGCAGAGCCGGTGGCGCAGCAGGTCCGGCCACCCCGGCGCCAGCCCCAGCGTGAGAATCAGAGGTTCAAAGAGCTTGGGCAGCCGCACCAGTCAAACCAGTGCTGCACCAGCACCCAAAGCATCTGTCCTGGCCCCCCTGCCCTGGCCATGGGGCTTCCCACCCTCCTCCACTTGGCAAAGCTTAGCACTGGGCTAGGATAGGGGCAGCAGTTCCCTCCTGGGACAGCCCCACCCTCTGGCCCAAAGTGCTAATGGACTGAGAAGGACCTGCTCAGGGACACCTGGAGCTTCCCTTTGTCCCCACATCCCCCGCAGGGATGGAGCCACCCCACGAGACCCCACAGGACACTCACCAGCTTGCGGATGCGGTCAAGGACCAGGTCGATGATCTCCTTCCCGATGGTGTAGTGCCCGCGGGCGTAGTTGTTGGCCGCATCCTCCTTGCCCGTGATCAGCTGCTCGGGGTGGAAGAGCTGCCGGTACGTCCCCGTGCGCACCTCGTCTGCGGGGACAGCCCCGGGCCCCGTTAGCCGCCAGCGCCCGCCGCCAGCGCCCGCCCCGCCGCCCGGCCCCCGCCCGCTCACCGATCACCGTGGGCTCCAGGTCCACGAACACGGCCCGGGGCACGTGCTTGCCGGCGCCCGTCTCGCTGAAGAAGGTGTTGAAGGAGTCGTCCCCCCCGCCGATGGTCTTGTCGCTGGGCATCTGCCCGTCGGGCTGGATGCCGTGCTCCAGGCAGTACAGCTCCCAGCAGGCATTGCCGATCTGCACGCCCGCTTGGCCCACGTGGATGGAGATGCACTCGCGCTGCGGGGGACACGGCTCTGGCTCACCCCTTTTGTCCCCTTTTTGTCCCACCCCAGCACCTACTGGGCTGGGTCCCTCCCCACGGCTGGATGGGCCCAGATTCTGCCCAGACCGATTGCGGGGAGTGCTCAGTTCTCGGGGTCCCATCCTGCCCCTCCCCATCGGGACGTGAGACCCTGCCCACTGAGGGATGGAGCGATAACGCGGTGGGCACTGGCTCAGCAACCCCAAACCACCCAGCATCACCCCAAACTCCGGCTGGAGACACCCGGGAGCTGAGGAGGGAGGTGTGGATGGACCCCCGCGTTCAGGGCCAGACTGGGGTTACCAGAGTGCACAGCCCAAGGGGTGCCAGGGACACAGCGGCTGCTCAGCTCTGGGGGTCCCATCCTGGCCCCCCGGGAGATGGGACACTGCACTGCCCCTTCCCGTGAGCCGAGAATTGGGGTTCCCCGGGGTTATTCCCGGTCTCCACCATTCCCAGTCCCCTCCACGCACGGCTCACACATCGACAGGGACCCTTCAGCCCCTTCCCCTGCAGGCTGCTCAACACTCCCCGCTTCGGGAGCAGCCTTGGAGCTCCCGGAATGTGGAGCCGCTCTCTTCTCCAGCAGCCCTTGCACAACCGCGGCCTGTCCCGGTCCCTGAGCCGCGGTTATGAGCGCCCGGCTGGCAGCCAGCCCCACCCGGGACTTGAGCAAACTCCGGTGACCGGGAGGACTTTCCCCGTGGCAGCCGCTCCTGGCCGTGCCCAGGCCACGCTGAGAGCATGGGAGATGTGAACCTTGCCGTGACTCACTGCCTCGCGTGTCCCGGCCAACAAAGCCGGGAGAGGGTGGCACGCGGGGAGCCCCCGGTGCCCCCAAACCCCTTCGCGGTCGGTTCCTCTCCCGAGGGGTGCTGCGGGAACGTGTTTAGTACCTGCGTGGGAGCCCGGGACACGCGGTGCCACTCGGTACCACGCACTTGGCAGGGAGCCCGGGGGGAATCGGCACAGTCCAAAGGTGGAAGCCCCCCGGGCTGCGACCCCCGGCTGGGGAAGTTCCCGGTTCCGGGACACACACTCACCCCCACCTCAGCTCCTGCCCGGGACGAGCAAGAACTCGGCAGCGTCACGGGACGTCCGGAACTCGAGAGGAGCCCCCAAACCCTCCCGAGCACAGCCCCACGTGCTGCTGGGGACCTGGAGGGGATAAGGGGGGGACCCGGCACGCACCCGCCCCTCATCCCCCGCTCTGCTCTGGGGGTCCCGCACACCCTGGGGGTCCCCCCCATGAACCCCCCACGTCCCCACTCCTCACCATGGCCGCTCGCTGTCCGAAGCGTTACGAAGCCGTCGAGGAGGGAGGCAGGGGTCGCCCCGTAGGGCCCCCGAGATATACCCGGGGGGCGGGGCTTGGGGCGGGGAGGGGGCGGGGTCAGAAGGGATTTGACCCGCCCAATCCGGGTACGCGGCGCTCTGGACACGCCCCTCCCGCCCCGCCTTGATTCTGATTGGCC